GCCTCCACACAGCCCCCACCCATCCCACATCCCTAGTTGTTTCGCTGGGGCCTGCAGGGTGCGCACTGTAGTCAAGAGGGTCGTGCCTTTGGTGGGGCTTCTTGTGTTTGGTAGAAGAGTTGGATTTGCCTAGTCTGCCTAGCAACCATCAGATACTGCTTGCCTTCTGCCTCACGGCACGGATGTGGGCCCAGTGCTGGAAGTCCAGCCAATCCAACAATACAATTGCCGCGAATCATGCCCTCGAATCATACCTCCGAGTTTTACGCCGAACCATACCCCCGAATCATACCACCTATTCAAACTTCCTGGCCCGACTACGGTAAACAAGTACACTGTACACACTATAATTACTTAAGTTATATATACTTTTGCAATTGCACATGCCCCCACATAATACATACACCAGATGCACGCATCACATTCTACTTTCCAGATTTCATGTTCTGACTTCATTTTGCATTTTGAGACATGGCGGTCTTGAAGATTGATGGAAACAACCCATGGCTTCTGGCAGGTCCCATTACTTCCCGTAATAATCAGCATTGCCCAAATGGAAACTGTCACACTTGAGGAGCCAGGCAAAGGACCAGAGACAAAAAAAACAGGAACAGGCAAAGGACCAGGCAAAGGAACAGTATGTGTGTATAATATATATATATATATATAAGAGAGCCAGCCGGCTAGGCTGAAGGGCAAAGAAAAAGTGCACCAGCAAAGGAGTGCCATTTTCTGGGACCTAGCCGGGTCTCCCCAAGCAGCTGTTTAAAAAATATGCTGAAAGACTATGTTTGCCCTGCTGTAAAGACCATCTACCTTTGCAAACTAGTGCACAGAAGGGCCGTCAGGCGCGGATGGCCTCACGCTCTCCACACGTTTGAAAAGGGCTGTCACCGCTGGCTTTCATCCCCTCCCTGTTCAGGTATATATACATATATTACATGGACTTGTTTGCTTTCTACCCTCGCAGCCCCCAATCGTTTCTCCCCAACATCCGTTTTGAGGCAACTGAGCAGCTTCCAGTCACCCGATGACACCCTCTGTGCTTTGCTGCGCCTTTCCGACGGGTCGGTGCGTCCTGGGCCGTATCGCACGAGCCTGGCGGCGGCCAAGAAGGACTTGGCGGAGCTGCGGCTGTGTCAAGCGCGGCGTGGAGATCAAGTGGCTGGGCGAAGAAAGGCATTATTGGATATATGTGGACATCATCTACTAAGGAGGCTGCTAGATGGATAGGAACCAACCTGGTGTGATTTTTGTGGGCGGTGAATTTTTCTTCTTACGTATGGCAGCGGCCTAGGCCATGTGTCAGGAGCTGGAACGCCGGGACGTTGACGCCATGAGCGCTTTCTTCGCACAAAGCCTGCGGGGCCTGCAATGACCCCCGCGTGTGATGCAGCATCTGCACAAGTCAGAGTGGTCCTCGAAATGGGGGGTTTTCCAGTGCAAGCGGCTGTCAAGCCAAGGCACAAGAAAATGTGGATGAGGCTGAAGGAAGTCTGTCACCTGTTTTCAGACGAAAATAGAAGAGAGGGCCATGAGCGACAGATCTGTCTCCCAACGAACGTTTTTTTTTCCAAAAGTGTTTCACTAAATTATGTTGTACGAACTTTTAACAGGGGCATGCTGGCCTGGTGGGCCCGGATGGTGAAGCAGCACCCACCGAAAAGCCAACGGTTCTCGGGTTCGTCTGCGGCATCACCCAAACATGAGGTGCCGGTGGTTGCCCTGCGTTCAATCGTGAAACATGCTCCCGCCAATGCCCAAATTCTTCCAAACTGGGTTTGTTCCGCTTCCATGGTTGGAGCAAGGGTAGCCTCAGAGAGCTGTTCTTAGTTCGATAGGCCTTGGCGGGGGCGTCCTCAAGAAAGATTTGCATATAGTTCCCTGGAGGTCAGGTTGGCCATGATTTCGTGGCACCATACGTCTTGTACATCATATTTTCTTGGGCCAAATAGGCCAGCTTTCTCCATCTGCTAGTTCCCAAGCTCTGGAGCCCCCTGTCACGCCCAGGAACGAAGGCGATCCTCGCCCTCCAGGCCGCGACCGTTCGGGGAAACGTGCGAAAACGGGGAGGAAACGGATTCAGCTGCAACACCAACAGCCCGTGTACCTCGATTGCGGCCTAGATGGCTAGGCCACTTGGAGGGAAATACAACAAGTGACCGGGCATGTTCAATCCTTTTCCCAGGCTTCTAATAGACGGATTGGCGTCAGCCAGGCCCTCGAGCTTGAAAGGAGCACCCTACCAGTCCGACCACGGGTCATGGACGTCGTACGCAATTTTTGATCCATGTGCCACTGGGGGCTAGCGTGCAAGGAGAAGTGCATTGCAAATCAATTTTCTTACATGTTTGTGTGATACAGTTGATGGATCCTGCACCTTGTACGAATTAAGTATTCCTACTGTAGATGGATGAATTCATCAAACCTCTTAGCAGAAAGTCTTTTGCTCCCCCCAGTGCCAATGTTGATGTAGAAAAACGAAGAGCTTCGGCTCTAGGACGATACGCCCCAGGGTGTGTGTGTGCTTGCTGCGCTGAGAGTCGAGGAGGGTGTGTGGTGGGTTCCATACGCATCATATTACATCATCATGATGCATTCGGGAGCGGACACCTTTTGAGAGCGAGATTAGGAGGTGAGGTTGTTTTTTTTCTCCCTTTGGCAGGCGAAAGGCTAGACAATGGTGGACGCAAACGCTCCCTCCATGGAATATTTCTGGATTCCAGGGCCTCTGGGACAGACAGACCAAGGTGGAAAACATCCAGACAGAACGCACCTTCTCCGAGATCCACCCGATGTCGACCGATGTTTGCCCCGTTGGGTGCTCGGTGTTCGCCCCCCCAACCCCGACTCCGCCAGGCGGTGAACCCGGTGGGTCGGCCTCTGGAACGCGTGAGCCGAGCGTCATCCGCGTTCGAAACGGCTGAGATGGTGACGGAGTTTGGAGCCGGCCTCGAGGGAACAGGATTGGATCGGCAGCCCATGAGGTCAGATGATTGAACAAGCTGTCGGCGGTGTTGAGGTACAAAAAAACGGATGGTATCATGAAATTGGTCGAAAGGGTAGGCCAAGGTCGTAGGCCACACGTTTCATTCTCATCCGTTGGACCAGGTCTAGGAGTTCACATCTTCGGTTGCGACCGGTCTACTCGGCCGCCCGTGTTGCTGCCTTTGGTTCCAAATAGAGAGATCTCCCAAAATCACCGAGAGAGAGAGAGAGATCTCTTTCCCTTGTGGTGATGCGCGCCAGCCGCGATTGATCCGGTGCCCGCGGCATGCCGCTGGGCACCTCTAACACCAGGAGCTTCCAACAGAAAGACTGACCCCACCATGCAGGAATACCAGCAGCACAAGGCCAGACCTTGGCTCCAGGCTAATGTAGACTCTTGACAAATAACCCCACCAGTTGAAGTGGAACATCCTCTTCATATGCGGGGTTTTATTCATCTAAGAGTCTACATTGCTGGTTTGCAAACTTTGCAAACTCGCCCCATCTCTTGGAGATAGTTCCGGCACCGCAGAGCCAGCTGTGCTGTGCGGTGGTTAGAGACGCTGGCTGTAGTTGTACATGGTATTCTTTTTTCATGTGTGTCTGGGCAGCATCGTCGCTTTAGTGTAGGGGGGCTCCATTGTGGGGTCTGCTCTATATAAACTCGATCTCGGCTGCCCCGACACCACCTCCTGACCTCACGCGGTGCCATCAATCGATCCGTGCGGATGATCCGGGCAGTGTTTTCATCGCTCGCTGGCGTGTGCGTGCCCAAAAGTGGATCGAACACGTACATCCTGTTGAAGCTTGTAATTCCGCTTTTCAACCATGAATGCCATAGGCCGTAGGCCATAGATAATCATAGATTTAGCATCCCAGTGTCATTTCCAGAGTGGACTAGGGGTTTTACGGATCTATCTTGCCATGCCAGTAGGTCGTCAGTACGTTTGCCTGCAGCCGAAGCAAGCCACGGGTTTTTGGAACAGAGCAGATTGACAAAGGGGTTGTTCATGTCAAACCTTTGGATAAGGAGAGTGCGCCAGTGACATACATCCAAAACAATGACTGGGGCCTCCTAACACATGCCACGGCTATCTTGTGCACGCTTGCTTTGTAAAACCTTCTGGCAGGTACTCTTGGAAGGCGACCTTTTGGTGACCTTGGCTGGTCCGCCGCAGCAGCCTGTGGCAAAAGCTGCCATCCTTTCCTGAGAATGCCGGTGGTTTGGGGCAAGTTCAGTTCTTCTGACCACGGTTGAGAACGGAAATGGTTGCAAGTAGATGCCTTGTGTTCAATCCTGTTTGTGCAGGGATTTGCCATGTCGACCTATGATGGCCTTTGGTCAACAAGCACAACTCGGGGATGATTGCCATTACTCTTTCAATGGTGTGGATCCAATGGATCGTGAGAGTGGATCCAGTGGATCAGGAAATGTGTCGAAGCCATTTTCTGTGTGCTTTCAGCTGGCCGCCAGCTGTACAGCCACAGTTGCATACAATTGTTCGGCAATGGCCGGGGTCCCTTTCATTTGCCAGGGTTGTTCATGCACAATCCAAGGGTGCCAGCAGCAAAAACTGGAGAAACTATCCCAAATCCTTACTGTAAATTTGTTCACATCATTCCACTTGTGAGTGGAGACATCGAGCAAAGAAATCAACGCTTTCTTCCTGGGACAGCCATTGAGTCCTGGCTTCGGACGGGTAAAGATATTTGCATATATATATATACTGTATATATATATATATACTGTATACATGTGTGAAATCAGATAGTTGAAAGTCCCATTGATGTGCTGGGACGGTGGCTCGAGGCTCACATGCCATTCTGAATTCATGACATGGCAACAACTCGATGCTCAAGCTGCTGTATGTAAGCCCATACCATGCCAACGAAACTTCCACGAGCACGAGGGTTTCGTGACAGACTCACACCCGACACCCGGAGTTGGAGTTGAACCCCTGTTGACTTCTTTACGTATAGCGCAGCCCGTCTTCAGCCCATATGTGGATCGGAAAATGACCAACCAACCAACAGACACTCGCCGATCCGTTTCCACACCCATGGCACGCAGTTCTGGCTGGTCATGGAAGAACTACGAGCGTCCTGGACTAATGCAGGACCGCAGTTCTGGCCTTCAACAGATGGCAGGTCCATGGGCATTCTGCCGAGGTCTCGGTGGTTCAAGGTGAAGCGTTGCGGTTTTCATGGCAGTTCACGAAAAGGCACGTTTGGAACGACTGGCAACAACCGGGGCCTCCAGAGTGTCGGACGTGGTTCCAACGAGGTTCAGCTTGACGGTTCGTGCCAGGATGAGATCGAGGAGGTGAAAGCTGCTTTCGACTTGTTCGACGTGGATGGCACGCAACGAATCAATCCCAAGGACGCTTTCGACGGGGAACTTGCATGCAACAAACGGAAAACAGGACCAGTTGGGACAAATTATGTGTAAACGGCTGTCAGCATTTGTTTTCTGAACGTCGTTTCTCTTTTTTCCTCTCTCCGGTGCTCGCAAACTGGTTGCCAGTTTACATGCCATGCCCCTAAAATATAGGACGAACATCATGGAAAATGTGGGAGAACCTCTACCACCATGGTCACACCATGGTCACACCATCGGCCAAGCTAGGAAGTACCAAGGCTCCCGTGGGAATGCTTGTTCGTGTTTTGATGCTACCAACAGACGATGCTCCAAAAACGCCAGGGAGGCAGATGGAGGCTGTAGATGTGGACTGTTGATGAGTAAACCTCCATAAGCCTGGAGATGTAAAGATCATTCCCCTCCGTCCATGTGTATCTTGCGAGGCCGGCCACAATCCGCCATCAGTCGCCACGCGCCTCCGCGCCTCGTCAGGACCTACGTGCCTGCATTCAATCGCTGAATTTGCGGCGGAACCAGGCGGAGCTGCGGAGCGAGCCCTTGGACCGGGGGGACTGGGGGGGGACTAAAGGTGGTACCCAGATGTGCGCGAGGAACGTCATGGTCCAACAGGTGACCAAAGTGTGAGCATTTTTTGCTTGTTTCTTTTTTTTTGGGGGGGTGAGTGTGTGAGTGTGTGTATGGTGATCGAGCAGGGTTCTGACTTGTAGTTGCGCTTGGGGAGTTTGCGGTTTGCGGTTTTGGGCAATCAAGCACCAGTGGCGGCCAGGAGCACCGTGGTCCCGCGTGATGGACGATCTTCCAAATCGTCGGGACTGACATTGGTGAACTCTTTCGTTTGGGGAGTTGCCCGAGTTCCAGGGCTTCACGGGCTTCACCCCACACAGATCGAGGGCTTTCGTGTCTCCTGAGCTTTGGGTTGTTTGTTGCAGGCCGTGTGCCAGATGTTTACTTCCGATTTCAGGCTGTATGCTCCTACGTATTGAATAGGCATGGGCACATGCAGTCTGCAATTATCTCGTGCAGATTCTGATTCTGCTTGCTGCTCTGCCAGCAGCGAAGAATGCCCCTGACAAAGCCGACGTCTCATCCGGGGGGGGGGCCATCCATCGCGGTCGGCCTTGGAGATGGATGCACCGCTAGGTGGTCCATCATTTGCTGAATGATTTGGAGCGCTTTGGGTCCAAGCCTTTGGACTTCAAGGGCTTCCTGGACATCATGACGGCCAAGATGGGGGAACGAGACACCAAAGAGGACAGACATGTATGGACTTCATTGGACTTCCGAGTGGGACATAAACCCAGCAGAAAGGTCGGATCCACCCAGCAGATGAGTTCCCAGACATGTTCTCAATGATGCTCGGTCGACCGCTTGGAACCCCAGGTCGAGTTGGGATATCTTCTCTAGACACCCGCCACACACCTTTCTTTCCATCGTGTTTTCTTGCTGTTTTTTTGGACCCTTGAGACGAACACCATGTTTTTTGCCGTATATTTTGGAACTCCTGTACGCGCCCAACACGCCAAAGGCGAGAGCACCAGTTGTGTGACTCCAGCCCCAAGAGCACCTTGATCTGGTGGCCGTTCTTTGTTGAACAGAGACTAATGGAATGACCAGAGGTTACGCCCCAACCAGGTGTCTTACCGTTTATACGCGTGCCCGTGCGTGCGGCATGCTTTTGTGTCTGCACAGAGCCCGGAGGAGAGCTTGGGGAGCAGCTGCCAGCGGAGGCATTGGAGGAGATGATCTCGCGAGCTGACTCGGATGCAGATGGGGAGGCCTGGCTGAGGGTGTGACGAGATGTACTGCGGGAAGTGGCACCGGGTTGGTGCATGCATATACGTCCACATCAGCCCATCTTGTTTTCTTATTATTGCGGGGTGGCATGTTGGTCATCGAGGAGTAGAGATTCAACATGATAAACTCCATGATAAACTCCGAAGATGTCAGGGTCAAGAAGACACAGAGAGAGAGAGAGAGAGAGAGAGAGGGAGAGAGAGTGTGATTCTTTCGACATTTTAGGATCACGCACCCTATATACCCATCTAATGCAATAGACCCAATAGACAACCAAACAACCCATCATGGATGAATCAATCAGATTGGATTGCCGTTGTCAAAGCAGAGTGCTTGAGGAACTGAAACTTCTAGGGGTAGATGTTGATTCATTGCAGGGTGCTCATGGAAGGGGATTTAACTTTGTAATATGTTCTCCGATCTTCGTTGCCAGGTGACGCTTGATGACTTCTACGTGCTCATGACTGAAAAGACGTTTCCCTACTAAGCACTAGCAGCCACGGGCTGTAAGTGGATGGATCGCCGCTAATTGAAGACATTGAGAGCTCTTGCACATACTGTAGATGAAAGTGCTCCTATCGTTTGAGTTTGAAAGGCATAAGGGGAAAACAGAATGAACAAGATATGTAAAGGGATTCGAGCACATACGAGCCAATTGTTATTTCCCATGGCCGCTGCGCGGGTTTGACAGTGACGGAATCCATCCAGCTTAATTAATTCGATGTGCTCGCAGTCTCATGCCAGGTCTCTGAGTGTGCGTGCTAACAGTGCACGTTAGCAGAGGTAATCACATGGGCGATTGCAGCAAAATCTGAGTTGTCATCAGCGATCCCACGAGAATTTGAAGACTTTGAAGAGATTCACGTAAAGCAACATCCATGCATTCATTGCTTGGGGAGTATATGCATCAGTTTGCTTCATAAGGTGTGATGAAGGTGGAGATGTACCATCTCAAACCTTTGGACCCCAAGTCTCTCCCTCTCTAAATGTGTATTATATATTACACATAAACACAAGCCAGCCAATACTACGTGGGACATCGTGGGACTTGAGCCAAGCTCCGAGAGCATGTCTCAGTCTCAGCTTGGTATGCCTGTTTGAGGCTTTAGTGCTTGCCTTTTGGCTCGAATGCAGGTTCTTTCAAACACTTCCACGCCCATGACTCGTGATTTCGGAGAAACGTTTAGCTACGACCTTCCAACCCCACTAATGATGGTGATCGGTGGGGCATGCGCGTCCATGCTATTTGGATCTATCCGGTAGTAAACATGATTCAACATGATCCAGGTTCTAAGACCTTGATGGTTGACACATTCAAACCACCACCATAAGGGTCCCCCAACTACAGCCTTGCTGGCTCCTGTATATCTTCTTGATTTGCGGCCGGGCAGTGTGGCGTGAAAAACGAGGCGGTCTGAACATTCTTTGGACCCGGACGACGGACTGCGTGTTTGGCTGGAATTGGGGCCACCTCTTACCCTGCCATGCTTGGGCAGATGCCTGGACAGGGTGTAGACTCTGGACTCCCACTATCTCAGAAACCCCTTCAATTTGCCCAGATTCAGCAAGTTTGCGACCCATCCGCAACACATCGCGCACAGCCTCAGCAACATGGCTTTGGTCTCAGTGATGGGGCCTGATAGGGTCCCAACGTTCCCAATGTGAACAGTAACAGGAACGCTCGGCTGACGGCCCATCCAGCTTGCCTCGGCACCAGCGGAGACCTCACCAGCCTTCAGGTGGTCCATGGCGCCCTATGACGAGGTGGATGCCGGCAGGTTATCGCATCAGGGGTGGCGTCGTCCAAAGCGTGGTGCCACCGGGGAGGAAGCGTGGTGCGTTGTCGCGCCGGCGGGCGAAGCTGGAGGAACTCCCAGACCGCGTTCGGTGGTTTTCCTCGTTCGCGACCAACGGCCGCCCAACCGGCCGCCCATCCACGAATCGTGAAGGGGCCATGGCAGCCATGGGCTTGGCATCTGGTGGAGCGGCAGGGAGAAATCTGTTGGTGCATTGGTCCTCGTGGGATTCTCGACATTCTAAGGAATAGGTACCTTGGACGACCGTGTTTGCCAGTTGCAGCATTCTCGCAAAGCGCATCCCTCTCCATGCTTTATCTCACAGTGGTTGTATGGCAGATTGGCGCCCCACAAATTGACAGCGGCAAGTGATCAGGGCCTTTTGTTTGAGGCTGGCCAAGGTGCAATGCAACAAGACCCCAGATAGTAGACCTACTGATGACTCAGTTAAGAACCAATGGCATATCAATGGCTTAGATGGCACGTGGGCCTCACGAAGGACACAGATTCGTAGTGTGGCCTGCTAGCTGGCAGCCAGCAGTCGACAGCCCGATGGAGGAGTTATGGCATTGACATGCGGTGAATGAAAGCACTTGAACCAGTCACAGGCGATTTGGCCTGCCGATGGCCCTGTCACAAGTGCTTCATAATGCTTCATATGTGCCAATGAGCTCTCGCTTCGCGCCGCAGACCCGTTGAGCCATCTTTAAAGTTGACAACTCTCGAACAGAAAGTCGCAACATAACACAGCACTGCACGATAATAGTCCAGGATTTGGCTGACCTGAATATTGATGTTCCTTCCTCGTCTGAACATCCCACTAAGAGATTTCAGATTCTTAAAATTTGTCGCTTGGCTAGCAATCACATTCTTTGGGCAGTGAGTTACGGTTATTTCAAGAAACATGAGGGGCAGATGTTGCCGCTTTCGGAGCATTGGATGATCACATGGCCGCCCTTTCATTTTTGACCTTGAATCTTTGGGGCTCCACTACGCCTCCGTTCCACCAGCATTCACACCACGTCGAAACGATCCGACGCCTGCGGTGCTTCGCCATGCGGACCGCATTGAGCGGTGGCTGAAGGGCAATTGGGGTGCCATGTTGGCACTCGTCAGGCCAGCGGGCGTCGAGCACCTTGGCTGCCTTTCCTAGATCTTGCAAGCAACATGTTTCGACTCCCTGGAAGCAATGCATCAACAACTCCTGTTGATGTACACGCCTTGTATGTTCAGGAGGGTCAAGACACAAAGAGTGTGGAGAGAAAGGCCTGTTGAGTGCAAAGACACCGCGCACCGAACAGCTGATTGTTTTGTGCACGGGGAAGTCATGAGAAGTGAGATGTGGGGCATACATATGCATACATACTCCTATCATCTTTGCGGGTCTTGGACTTTCTTGGATTCTTTGCTACGTTCGTAGCGTCCCGATGGCTCCGTTCGTGGTTTTCGGCCAAGGCCCTATCACCTGGGGCGACGACTCCGAGCCGTCGAAGCGGACCGCACAGAGGCCGGGTCCCCGTGAGTCGTGGGGATGAGAAGGATGAAGCGTTTGGCCTACAAGGGGACTGATGACCTTGTGGACCTTGGAGAAAGCATGATAAAGCAAAGTATATACTATACCCAACACTAACACCGATGGCAAAGGTTTTTACATGGGAGTGGATCCCCAAAATTAGCTTGCACAGGGTCCTATGTAGTCAGTAGTCCTGTGTTCCGTGAGGCGTTGCACATCTACGCCAATGAAACACGGAGATGGGTGTAGCTAGATTCAGAAGGGCCCAATCTGAATTTGACATCATTCCAGAATTTAGGCGCGGCCACCAGGAGCTGGGAAGGAGGAATGCTCGGACGGAAAGATCTGAAAAAAGCATGACATTACTCTTGAGACAACTTATTTGGCCTTTCAAAGGTCTTCTCTGAACCTTCTATATAGTAACAAGTGCATCGCTACTAGTAACAAGGGCAGTACTACTAGTAACAAGAAGCTACTAAGTGGCGATGCACTTGTTACTAGTAGCGATGCACAATGCACTTGCTACCAGTAGCGATGCACTTGTTTCTAGTAGCGATGCACTTGTTACTAGTAGCGATGCACTTGCTACTAGTAGCGACGCACTTGTTACTAGTAGCCATGCACTTGTTACTAGTAGCGGTGCGCTTGCCACTGGTAGCTTTTGTAGAGTGATTCCCAACACTTTCTGGTAGCTCCCGTGCAGGCGTTCGCCGAAAGCTTCAGCTCCAGCAGCTCCAGCAGCTCCAGCAGCTCCAGCTCCCCACTCTGCCCCGCTCGGCAGAAGGATCAGCGGGGTCTTTGGGCATGGCGGAGCTGCGAGGCACGCCAGCCCCACGAGGAAAGTCCTTCGGGTGGTACTAGCTATTTGGGGTGATGTGGGTACGTTTCCATGTGGTACTTTGTTCTTCACGGCAAATATCTCACAAGGATCACCCTAGTTGTGAAATCTCAGCCAATTTTACGAAAGGTAGCTTCAGCTGCTTGAGTTCTACTTGCTTTAGCTACCCCTGCTTGCCTGGTACTGGTGGCTACCTCTCGTTCACCCTGTCCTCTCTCAGTCTCACGTTCAGGTGTTGGTCTTGTGCGCTGTACTCGCCCGTGGTCGTACTGCCCACAGTCGTTCACAGAGCTCACGGGGTGGCAGTGCCTCAGAGTTCAGGGTGGAGGTTTCAGGGTGGAAAAGCAAGCATTGGTTGAAGATCGGGGTCGAAAAGACATGAACAGACAATGTAAATAAAGTATCATAATCAGAATCAGCATATATTTGTATCTTTAGTATGTATATTGCATTTATGTATATAGTAGAGGGAGTCTGTTCAAAGAAGACTTCGGGCTTTGTTTGGGTGGGGGGAAGTCCCACTGCACACCTCTAGGTCACTAGGACTACTATATATACAGTGGTTTCAGATGGCACAGACACCATGATGCCCTTTAGATGGGGGTCCGTATAAACTACCTCTTGGGGTCTGTGCCATTGGTCCTCTCAATCCACTATATATAATTATATATATACTGTATGTTCGCCCCTGTGGCCCAGAAGCGCTTGTTGTCGCAGTTCAAAGCAAGTCAAGCCACGGAGCTTTTGCGACTGGCCCGCGGCACTTGTCACCGTGTCATGCCACGGAGGTGTCCTTGTTCTCAGCGGCACCTCCGCGGTGCCTCCAGCGGACCAAAATGGGTTGCAAAGTAATCTGACCCCGACTGGTCCGTGACCCCACGGTGTTGGCATCGACGAGATCTCGAGAGTCTTTCAAGTGCCAAGAGTTGCTGGTCTTGTGCGCCAAGGATCCGGGAACATCATCTTGATGAGGAGTCAGGAGATGGAAAGCGAGGTTCAGGCCGGGTGGATGGACATATGTCCAGCGTTTTTGGAGGGTCCGGTGCCCACTCGGAACTGGTGAAACCATGTGGTGAACATGCAGGTGTGTGTGTGTGTGTGCCCCTTGGAGTCACAGGGATCCGTTTGGATGGTACTTTTGATGCTGTTTCCGTCTTTTTTGAGCAGGGGCGTACGGCTCGTCATACCCACCGTACGCAACGAAGCTACGGTATGACAAGGGAAGGGTGGACTGATCATCCACTTGTACCTGCTTGAATTTTAACATGTGCCGAGATATTCTGCAGACATGCACGACACGTCGTCATTTCGACCTGATCGCCGTTCTCGGTCTTGAGATTTTGGCCTCACCTCCTTTTGAAGACCCCCAGGCCCCTAAGTTTCTTCTGGACTTTTTCAGGAT